TGAGAACCCCGACACCGGCTCTGTGTATGTGCTGCGCGTCCGTGGCTGGAACAAGGCTGGCTACGGCGAGTACAGTGAAGACGTGCACCTGCACACGCCCCCCGCACCCGGTGAGTGAGCGGGCACGGGTGCTTACGTAAAGGGCATGGGGTCTGCCAGGGCCCAGGCCCTGACAGCTGCTTCCAGGTGCCGCTAGAGAGCCCATATAACATACTGGGTCACACACACTAGCTCTGGAGCTAGACTGCTTGGGTTCAAATCCCAACTCTGCCTCTTACCAACCGTGTAGGTGGCTTTTGGCAAGTTTTTCACCCTCTCTGAATTGCAGAGTCCTTTTCCGTAGGGATAATGATAATATTGGCCAGGCACAGTGGCTCATACCTGTAATCCTAGCACTTTGGGAGGCCAAGGAGGGAGGGTTACTTGAGGCCAGGAGTTCAAGACCAACCTGGCCAACATAGCCTCGCTCCCTAAAAAGTAACGGTCAGGTGCATGGCTCATGTCTGTAATCCCAGCACTTTGGGAGGCTGAGGCAGGCAGATCACCTGAGGTTGAGAGTTCAAGACCAGCCTGACCAACATGGAGAAACCCCATCTCTACTAAAAATACAAAATTAGCTGGGCATGTGGTACATGCCTATAATCTCAGCTACTTGGGAGGCTGAGGCAGGAGAATCACTTGAACCCAGAAGGTGGAGGTTGCAGTGAGCTGAGATCATGCCATTGCATTCCAGCCTGGGCAACAAGAGTGAAACTCCATCTTAAAAAATAAATGAGCCGGGTGCGGTGGCTCAAGCCTGTAATCCCAGCACTTTGGGAGGCCGAGGCGGGTGGATCACGAGGTCGAGAGATCGAGACCATCCTGGTCAACATGGTGAAACCCCGTCTCTACTAAAAATACAAAAAAATTAGCTGGGCGTGGTGGCGCGTGCCTGTAATCCCAGCTACTCAGGAGGCTGAGGCAGGAGAATTGCCTGAACCCAGGAGGCGGAGGTTGCAGTGAGCCGAGATCGCGCCATTGCACTCCAGCCTGGGTAATAAGAGCGAAACTCCGTCTCAAAAAAAAATAAATAAATAAAAAATAAAAAATAAAAATAAATGAATAAAAAATAATTTTAGAAAAATGCTAATACTTACCCCATGGGGTTGTGTTAAATCAACTGATGTGAGGTGCTCCATGGGAGTCTGAGTACAGTGTCTGGCTCACGGTTAGGTCTTGTGAAATGTTATTAACGTGATTCTAGAAAATAGTCTGGTCTCCAGGGGGTGGGCATGAGAGGGGAGCCTTGGTATAAGGTCCAAGGGTGAACCCAGAGTGTGGGCTGGAAGACATAGGTTGATGGCGATGGCAATGTCACCAGGTGGAACACAACAGTGGGGACTGTCCATGGGGCTGGCAACAAGTAAGGGGTTAGAGGAAGCACCATGAGTCAGCCAGGTCCAGAGCCCTGGTTTTGTGCCCACTGTCACCATGAAAACGCTCTCTGGGGTCCCATGCCCATTTGGAATGCCCCCTTCTTTTTCCCTCATGCTTCCCGTTTCAGTTTCCCACGCCCTGTTCTCCTGACCCCCCTGCCTGTTCCCGGTGGCTGAGCCCCCTGGGCAACGTCTTCCCTGTTCCGAAATCTCACAGCCCCCAGTGCCAGTGTTTGTCCCTGAAGTTCTTCCTGCATCTCAACCCTCTCCCTCCTTCCAGTCCTGCACTTCTTCCTCGATGGCCGCTGGGGTGCAAGCCGAGAACGGCTGGCCATCAGCAAGGACCAGAGAGCAGTACGGAGTGTCCCAGGGCTGCCCCTGCTGCTGGCTGCCGACCGGCTGCTGACCGGCTGCCACCTGAGTGTGGACGTGGTCCTGGGCGACGTGGCTGTGACTCAGGGCCGCAGCTACTGGGCCTGCGCCGTAGACCCAGCCTCCTACTTGGTCAAGGTGGGCGTCGGGCTGGAGAGCAAGCTTCAAGAAAGCTTCCAGGGTGCCCCCGATGTGATCAGCCCCAGGTCAGGCCCCTCTGAAAGGGATGGGGTGTGGTGGTCCTGGTGGGAGTCAGGGGCAGGGCAGGGGTGGCAAGCGGAGCACAGATTTGCTGGGGTGGGGCCGGGAGAGGATTAGGAGGGTGAAGTAGGAGCATGGAAGCCAGGCTGGGAGGCCTGTGGCCAGGAGAGGCATGGGCTCAGCCAAAGGGCTTTCAAGGACTGATTTTCAGAGCGTGGTGTATGGTCAGGGGAAGGGATGGTAGAAGAGGGGCCATCTCTGCTTCCTTCCAACCATCTGTCACGCTGGACCAACACCCCACCTCTCCAAGCGTCTGTGTCCTTTCTCCCTGATACTCCATTTCCAACACTGTTTCTCCACTAAACCATTGCTCTCCAAGACCTCCTCCACCCACATCTTAAAATTCTTCCCTTAAACACCCCACCTCCATATCCCTCCTCTCCCCAACTCCCTGTTTAACACCCTCCCACCAACGCGTTTCTTCCTGAGCCTTCTCCCCAGCACTCTATCCCCCAACCCCTCGTTTCTTCAAGGCACATTCTCTCCAACACAAATCCCCTCCTAAACTCCACTGTCCCCACCCCCGCATGCCTCTGACACCCTTCATCTGTGACACCAATCCACCCTCATCTATCTCCTGACACCCACCTTTCCCAACTTCCTTTCTCTTCTTAGTCACTAATCTGGGATTCTTCCCAACGTCCTCTAATCGTCAGAACCCTCTCCCCAGCGTGATTTCCCCAACACCGTCTTTCTCGACGCCTTTCCGCGTGCTCTACCAATGACTGTCTTTCCCGTCCTCCCTGCCAATGCGCCAAAGTACTCTTGCCAATCAATGCCCTTCCCCACCGAACCCAAACCCCTGACTCTGTACTCTAACCCCCGCCTCTTCAACATTTTCTTTTCAACACCCCAAATCCATCCCTTCCACCTCCTGCTCCTCAGCATTCCATCCTGCCGGCATCTCCCTTCGGCACCTCATCCGTCACTCCATCCCTCAAAAATCTCGTACCCAACGCCCGCTCCTGCAGGTACGACCCGGACAGCGGGCACGACAGCGGTGCTGAGGATGCCACCGTGGAGGCGTCGCCGCCCTTCGCTTTCCTAACCATCGGCATGGGCAAGATCCTGCTGGGGTCGGGGACGAGCTCAAACACTGGGCTGACGGGGAGGGACGGCCCCACAGCCGGCTGCACAGTGCCCCTGCCGCCCCGCCTGGGCATCTGCCTGGACTACGAGCGGGGCCGGGTTTCCTTCCTGGATGCCGTGTCCTTCCGTGGGCTCTTGGAGTGTCCCCTGGACTGCTCAGGGCCTGTATGCCCTGCCTTTTGCTTCATCGGGGGTGGCGCAGTACAGCTACAGGAGCCAGTGGGTACTAAGCCTGAGAGGAAAGTCACCATTGGGGGCTTTGCCAAGCTGGACTGAGCCTTCCAGGCCCCTCATGCAGACCGGGGGTCCTCCTGGGCCCTGGCCCCCAAATCTCTTTGCCCAGGTTCTTCCCCCCAAACTCTTCCTACAATGCGGCCCTGCCCCTTCCCCTGTGTCTATGTCTTCCCAGGGTTTTCTCTTGACCCAGGGGCTCTCCTCTGCCCACCTCTCTGGATGGCTCCCATTCTCTCCATTGCCTGTTAGCCAAGCCCCCACCCCCACTGCGTCTGCCCCATGCCCTGCCTTTGGCATCTCACCCAAGCCATGGAGAGAGCCCCTTCTCCAACCCTGTCTTGTGCCCCCAGGCTGATTGGGAGGGAGGGCCCCTGACCACTGGGCACGATCTCCAGCTCTGCCCTTGCCCTGCCCAGCTCCCTACCCTGTTGATGCTGAACTACAGCCTTGGGACAGGGAGGCTTTGGGGCTGGATGCTGTCCAGGCACTCCTGGTGAGGGGAAGGGGACCCTGTCATCCTGCTTTATTTATTTGGGTCCCAACACCCCGCAGCCGCATGCCCCTTCAGTACCCCTTCTCTCTCTTGCATGCTTTACCTGTCCTGCACCCATGCCAACGTGCCAAGTCTCCCTTGGGGACCCAACTGAATCTGGGTGTTCCCACAGGGTTGGGCCAGGCAAGGCTTCTGGTGCCTGCTGCTGTCCCCCCGCAGTGGGCTCTGCTAGGCCTGTGCCGAGCAACAGCTGTTATTTTCATGGTTTATAAACAATAAACTGTGATGCCAGGCACATCTCTGCCTCCCTGAGCGTGACCATTCCTCTTAGTTTCTGTGCTGGGTGTGGCGGGCAGGAGGGAACAGGGTGCTGGGCTGTGGTTCTGGGCCGGCGCACCGGATGGATTTGGCACCTGAGGGAGGAGGGCCTCCTGCCTCACACGGCCTGGCCCGGCCTGAGCCCACCACAACCGCCAAGGGATGTAGCTCTCTGGCTGCTGATGGCAGGCCCCAGCCAGGGTGTCTGGGCCAGTGGCGCCCAGGCCCTGGGGGCATGCGGTTGAGGGGACAGGCAACATGCCTGGGCCCAAACGGGTCAGGGGACCAGAACCACTTCCCCATTCCCAGGGTGTTTCGGAGCCCACCCCAGGGGCAGTGCGCTGGTGGGGCAGCCAGGGTCAGGTGGGGGCCGGGCCTGGTGCCAGCGCCCGGATCTGACCGGCCCCCGCTTATCTCAGCCCTGTTGACTCTGGGCTGTTATCACTGCCCTAGGATTTACTTCACACCCAGGCCGCTGAGAACAGAGGCACCTGGGGGCACCCTGCCAAGGGGAGAGGAGAGTGTGGGCCGGGCAACGCCAAGGGAGAGCCGCTGGTGCCCGGAGCCCAGTCACGCTAGCCCTCCAAAACCCGCCTGGGTTTCGTTTCCTCCTTCCTTTTGTGCTACCAGGGTCAGCCAGAGGTGGCTCCCCAGGCCACCGCCCCTCCCCAACGTCACCTCCTCACATCTCCTGCTTCTCAAACAAACCTGCTCCTTCCTGCCTCCTGGCCTCCCTGTCTCCTCCCCCAGGCCCCTCACACACATTCTGACCAGCCGCCCTGCTGCCCACAGGTCACAGATGAAAGATCAGAAGTTGGTACAGCGGGAGACCATGTTTTATTGAGTCCTGTCCCGGTTCCCTGCCATCTCCGGGGTCTCTGGGCCAGTCCTCCTGGGAGCTCCCACCGCACCACTCCCCAGGCATAAGCCCTCAGGGGCAGGCGTGGGCTTCCACAGGCCGAGAAGGGTCCAGGAACTTGGTGAGGCCTCTGAGGGAGGCTGTGAGCAGCACACCCGAACTCCCAGCTCACCAGCCCAGAACGGGGTTTGGGGTCTCTGGCCATGAAGAGCCGGAGTGGGGCGGACTGGCACTGGCTGACCACTCAGCTCAGCAGGCGAGGTGCCCCTACAGGTTGGCAGAAGTGGCTGCCACCGCTGGGTTTGTGTAAGAGAGGCTGCTGCCACCATTACCTGCAGAAACCTGGGTCGAAGGAAAAGAGATCCCAGGTGAGAAGCAGAAGGTACCTCCCAGAGCCCTTGCATGGCACCCCAAGCTGGGTAATCCGTTCAGGGTCCTGGCCAGCTCTCAAAGGGTTAAGTCGGAGAGAGCACCTGCCACCCCACCAGCCAGGTGACTGTAAACAGGGCTGTCCTCCTCCCTCTGCTCCCCTTCACTCCTTCTCCTTGGCTCTAATCAGCCCCCTTGGCCTCCCTTGCAGCTCCTTTGTCCCTCCATTCTCTGCTGTTCCAGCCCAAGGAGGAGTGTGTGTGTGTCTGTGTGTGTGTGTGTGTGTGTGTCTGTGTGTCTTTCTGAAACTGAGAGAGGGAGGTCTCCAGGAGGAGGAAAATAGGAGCAAGAAAAATAAACGCCTCTCTCCTCCCCCACCCAGAGTGGTTTTCCAGCCTCAGGTGGCTGCAGTAATTATTTACTAGGTTCCATAGAGAAAGGCCAGGAGAGGAAGGAGGGAGGGTTCCTTGCTTCCTTGAAGCTCCCAAGAACACTGCTGGCTCCCAGGCTCGCCTGGTCTGCTGACCCCTCTTCCTCCACCTAGAGAACCTCCCCTTACACCAGCCTTTCTTGGTCTACCCTCCATTCCTAGGAGATGATTAGGGGCACAGGGGCTCACCCCTATGACTCTTCAGGCAGGGCTCCCCTAAGCATAGTGCTCCACCCATTTTGCCTCTGGGTGCAAAAAAAAAAAAAAAAAAAAACCTGCCTCGGTGGCACCAGTGCAGCCAGTGCCAGCCAGCATGAATGCAGATGGCCAATGCTCTTTTAGGAATTCTGGCAGTGGGGCCACTCCCTCTTTAGGGCCCCCTTCTTCTGTGGTCTCCTCCCAGGCCTGTCCTCCAGAACTCTTCGGACCTCCGCCCCTGTCCTTGCCAGGCCCTCCTCTGCTCACTTCATGCCACTTCTCACCTCTTCCAGGCTCTCTGGGTTTTCCAAGTACCCCCTTCAGAAGCCTCGCCAGCCAAAGCCTCTGCCTCCCCCAGCCTGTGGGGCCCAACCTCACCTCCTCATAGGGGCTACGATTGGTACTTCCAGGGGGCACATAGCGCCCATGGGTGTGGTAGGTGGGGTACTCGCTCATAGGATGGTAGGCATCCCGGGCTGGAAAGATATCCAGCTGCCCGTAGTTCTTTCGGCGGCACTGCCAGACAGCCTGGGGATACAGGAGGTTATGGTGGGCCACGGAGTGCCTTCTAGCAGTGGGGTTCTGATCAGGGCCAGGGACTGCACTCACCAAGGCAACAAGATAGATGACGGCCAGCGCAACCAGAACACAGACCAGCACCAGCAGCGCAATGCCCCAGCCTGGTACCCCAGCCCCGGACGGGGCAGAGAAAGGAAATGGCACATCACGCACTAAAAGGAAAAGCAGTGGTCAGGGCAGTCTCCCAAAGGAGGTGCCCCTCCTGCTGCCAGGACTAAGGAAAGAGCGGGGACCCAGCCACTGGAGGGAGGAGGCCGCGGCATGGTGCCGGACTACAGGCAGGGAAGCAGCCTCACCGCTGGCTGCTGAGACATTCAGGTGATATCTAGAGGCTGCTTCCGCTTTATGCGCTTCAAACTGTGTCTCCACGTCTTGGACATTGGTGGTACCTTCTCGGAAGGCCAGAGTCGATTCTACCACCACAGATCCTGGCCTGGTCACAGGGAAATGGGCACTTCAGCCACGGATCGCAGCTCTGGCTCAGCACTCTCCCCCAACCCTGATGTACCAGTCCCTCCCTACGATCATGACAACCACCCACCCTCCAACCACCACTGAGTCCACACCCAGAACTGTACCTGAACTTGATATTGAAGAGGCCCAGAAAATCCTCTTGTTTATAAATCTGCAAAAACTGGGGTGAGAGGGAAAGGACTCAGGCTGGATGCAAAGGGTGCGGCCAGTTCTGAAGGCTGCTGCAGGGGAGCATGGGGAAGAAAAGACTGATACTCACCAACTCAGAAATGTTTCTCCGCAGCTCTTGGTAATAGTTGGTATTGGGATCTCCCAGAGAGGAGTTAAACTGGAGGTTCAAAATGCGAAAAGACAGGAAAAAGAAAGAGACCCCAATAGACAACTGGGGAGAAGTGCTGTGATTGGAGGAGGTGAGAGGAGGTACTATGCTATGGTGAGTGCTACTGCCAACAGTCTTGGTGCTATGGCTGGCAAGGGTGGCAGGAGTATCAGAATGGTGGCTGGGAGTTGAGAATGGAGTACTCTTGCTGCCTGGGGTTGTGGTAGACTCAGTGGCAGAGGTGCCGTTGTGCACCAAAGTGGAAGCTGAGCCTGATGTCGAGCCTGAGGCCAAGGTGCCATGGTGGGCTGGAGTGGTGGTGGAGCCGGAGGGTGGCCCCGTGTCCGTGGCCGAGGTGCCATGGTGGGCTGGAGCCGTGGTGGAGCTGGAGGCTGGCCCGGTGTCCGTGGCCGAGGTGCCATGGTGGGCTGGAGCCGTGGTGGAGCTGGAGGCTGGCCCGGTGTCCGTGGCCGAGGTGCCATGGTGGGCTGGAGCCGTGGTGGAGCTGGAGGCTGGCCCGGTGTCCGTGGCCGAGGTGCCATGGTGGGCTGGAGCCGTGGTGGAGCTGGAGGCTGGCCCGGTGTCCGTGGCCGAGGTGCCATGGTGGGCTGGAGCCGTGGTGGAGCTGGAGGCTGGCCCGGTGTCCGTGGCCGAGGTGCCATGGTGGGCTGGAGCTGTGGTGGAGCTGGAGGGTGGCCCGGTGTCCGTGGCCGAGGTGCCACGGTGGGCTGGAGCGGTGGTGGAACCATGGGCTGGAGCGGTGGTGGAGCCGGAGGCTGGCCCGGTGTCCCTGGCCGAGGTGCCATGGTGGGCTGGAGCGGTGGTGGAGCCAGAGGCTGGCCCGGTGTCCGTGGCTGAGGTGCCATGGTGGGCTGGAGTGGTGGTGGAGCTGGAGGGTGGCCCGGTGTCCGTGGCCGAGGTGCCATGGTGGGCTGGAGCGGTGGTGGAACCATGGGCTGGAGCGGTGGTGGAGCCGGAGGCTGGCCCGGTGTCCGTGGCTGAGGTGCCATGGTGAGCTGGAGCCGTGATGGAGCTGGAGGCTGTCCCGGTGTCCGTGGCCGAGGTGCCATGGTGGGCTGGAGTGGTGGTGGAGCTGGAGGGTGGCCCGGTGTCCGTGGCCGAGGTGCCATGGTGGGCTGGAGCAGTGGTGGAACCATGGGCTGGAGCGGTGGTGGAGCCGGAGGCTGGCCCGGTGTCCGTGGCTGAGGTGCCATGGTGGGCTGGAGCCGTGATGGAGCTGGAGGCTGTCCCGGTGTCCGTGGCCGAGGTGCCATGGTGGGCTGGAGTGGTGGTGGAGCTGGAGGCTGGCCTGGTGTCCGTGGCTGAGGTGCCATAGTGGGTTGGAGCGGTGGTGGAGCCGGAGGCTGGCCCGGTGTCGGTGGCCGAGGTGCCGTGGTGGGCTGGAGCCGTGATGGAGCTGGAGGGTGGCCCGGTGTCCGTGGCCGAGGTGCCATGGTGGGCTGGAGTGGTGGTGGAACCATGGGCTGGAGCGGTGGTGGAGCCGGAGGCTGGCCCGGTGTCCGTGGCCGAGGTGCCGTGGTGGGCTGGAGCCGTGGTGGAGCTGGAGGCTGGCCCAGTGTCCGTGGCTGAGGTGCCATGGTGGCCTGGAGTGGTGGTGGAGCCAGAGGCTGGCCCAGTGTCCGTGGCCGAGGTGCTGTGGTGAGCTGGAGCAGTGGTGGAGCCCAGGGCTGGGGTCAAGGAGACATCCTGTCCCCCAGTGGCAGCCAAACCTGAGGTTAGTGTGGTGGCTAGGGCCGGGGTCAGGTTGTATCCCTGAATAGTGGAGGAGCCTGAACCAGGGCTATGGCTGGAGATGCCACTGCTGGTCACACTCACAACACTCCTGGTAGAGCTGGGTGCTGAATTTCTGTGGGTAGTCCCCGTCTTTTCTCCTCCCGAGGTAGAGCTTGCATGACCAGAACCTGTAAGAACTGCTGTAAGGGCCGGGCGTGGTGGCTCATGCCTGTAATCCAAGCACTTTGGAGGCGGAGGCCGGCGGATCACCTGAGGTCAGGAGTTCAAGATCAGCCTGACCAACATGGTGAAACTCCGTCGTCTTAAAAAAAAAAAAAAAAAAAAAAGAACTGCTGTAGGGTCTATAGCAGCTGTAAGAAGTTGAAGTCACAGGGTTGGGTGCACGACAAAAGAAGAAAATATAAGCTCTAGCCACCAGGGAAATAATACCAGAGGACTGGGGAGTGGGCAGCCTCAGGCAGCCCCCGGGTTGGCCAGCTCCTTACCTGCGACCTCCTCCTTCTCTGCCCACAGGCCTCAGCTGCTGGCCTGTGCATTTCTCCCTCCTAAGCCTTCCCTCTCCCTACTCGTTTCCTCTGAGACTTCTCTTCAGGACATTTGCTTGCCCCTGGCACCCACTCTCAGGGTGGGGGGCACCTCTTCTCAGCCTGTCCTTAGCCTCTCCCTCATCCTGGCACAGACAGGGCAGCCTCTGTCTGCAATTCTTGCCTTTCATGATGCCATCTGCCAGGGAGCCAAACCCACAGAAAGAGCCCGAAGACCACCTAAGCAGGGCAGCCCACTCCCCCCTTGTGCCTCTCACCTGTAAGCACTATGAGTAGCAGCAGTAGGAAGAAAGGGGACTGGATGCCCGGTGTCATGGTGGTGGTGAACTGGGTGGGGAGGGGGCAGAACAGACTCAGGCAGGCGCTGCTTGAGAGGTGGAGCGGGCACAGGCGCCTGCTGCTTTATACCGGTCCCCCCGCTGCCCGCCCTAGGCACAGCCGGAGCAGGTGACAGGTGACAAAACCCCGCCCCCTCCCCCTTCCCTACCTCCTACCTCTTCCTCCTCCTCCCCAACCATTCCTGGGTAGGGAATGGGCTCTAATCACTCAACCCCCTGTCAACCCCGTTTCTTCTCCAACTGGCCTCCCCCTTTCACCAACCACGCCCTGGCTCCAGGGGGAAGGGCAGAGGGCCAGTCTGGAACCTGGGGCCCCTGGGCTCTAGTTTTAGCCCCAGGGCAACAACTAAGGTGGGAATGGGGAACACAGCCGGCTAGGTCGAAGCCCTGGACAGCAAGGCCAGAAAGCACCCCCCCCAGGTCTCCCACTCCACTTCCCGGCCCTCCCTGGACCCACTGAAGCAGAGCGGGGCCGAGAAGAAATAAGAGGGCTGGATAATGAGTGGAACAGGTACTAGTTTTGGGCTCCCTGCCCCCACCACTTCCCGGAATAGCCCCACCCTTCTAACCGCTCCCTGTCCCGTTCCACAAGCAGTTTCTACCCTGAAACCCATAGTCCCCGCCCCAGCCGGACTTTCCAGCAGCCCGGGTTCCCTCCTTGGGTTTCTCCCGAGAAGGGAATGGGGAAAGAAATTTCCACTTAAAGGAGGAAATCTGGGCTCTGATGAACGCTAGGGTCGTCCCTTGCCACCCTCCATTGCTAGCCAGGAGCTCCCGCCCTCTAGTGGTCACCGGGAGCCTTGCGGGCCGGACCGCGCCGGCTGAGGGGCGGCTCGGACGGGATGGAGAGGAGTTAGGGCAGCGCTGCCTAAGTGAGGCAAAGACCCCGCGAGAGGGAGGCAGAGCCCGGGAGAGAAGGGTCACTGCCGTGGCCAGGGAGGGAGGAACGCACAGCATGGTGGACGGCTGGGAGCTTTAGGAGGGTCACTCCGGGAGGGCGTGGTGGTGACGTCCGGAGAAGTGGAGCCGAGCGGGTGGGGTCCTGAGGTACGTGGAAGGGGCACCAAGGTATGTGGGAGAGGACATTGCAACGTGGTCGGGGGAGTTGGACACGGTCTGTGTGGACCGTTATGGACTTAAGAGGCAGAGAGTGGGGGGGGGTGACAGAATGGGATTTAGGGGCACAGAACTATCCTTTGAGGAGCAGAGTGGTACTGGAGACAGGTAGGCACGCAGTGGGGGGCAAAAGCACACGGGAGGTGCGTAATGAGCGAAAACCGAGAGGTGTGTGCGGCCAGCAGTGCGCCCGGGGAGGAAGCTATCCTGGGCCGCGCGGCACGTGGAACTCGGGTCCAGCGGCCGCTTGCTGCGGTCTAGGCCGGCGGAAGCAGTTCCGACTGTATTTGGGAAACAGTTCTCAGCCCCAACGACACAGATTGGAAGGAACACTTTAAAAACACTTCAGCGAGGCACGGGATTGGAGAGCATCGGGTCACCGGGCGACAGACCACCTCTTCCGCCCGCGCGCCTCTCGGGCCCCCGAGGCGAGGCTTTGTGCGCGGCCAGACCCGGGGGCGGGGGCGGGGGCGGGGGCGGGCGCGGGGCGGGGTGGGGGCGACTGACGTCAGCGCGCCCGGACGCGCGGGCCGGGGAGGCGGGGAGGCCCCCCCCCGCCACAGGCCGGAGAAAACCCAAGTAGCTAGGTGGGCGGCAACAAACCGCAACTCCCGACATTGCCAGGCAACAGCCATTCAGTTCGGTTGCTGGGACACGCGTCACCATGGCGACGGCTCCGCGCCGCGCAGTCTGAGTATTTAAAGAGCAAGCGCGCGCAACGCCCGGGCGTCGGAAAGCGGCCTTCCGGGACTCCGCGAACTCCGCTCTCCCTACCCCCTCCCCTTTACCATTCCCTTCGCCTTCCGGGCGCCAAGTCTCTCTGGCCTCCGAGGTGAACCCAGCTCCCCAGCGCGCCCCGTGTTCCCGGGTCGGGCCGGCTTCAGGCGGTGGGGAGCGGGATCCCGGGCCCCGGGCGGGCGGGAGGGACGGGACGCGGTGCAGTGTTGTTCTTTCCCCTGCCAATATTGCACTCGTCCCGGCCTCCGGCCCCCCCGGCCCCCCGGCCTCCACCTACCCCGAGCGGGGCAGCCCCCGCCCTCCTGGCTCCCCATCCCGGCGGATCTCTGATAGACTGGAGTGTCGCGGCTGCCACCGTGAGTAAATGGGGCTGGAAGGACTTCGGGCATCCTCCGACAGACACCCTATCCTTCACTTAACTCCATCCAGCACCTTCCCCACCCGCACCCCTAAATCAGTCAAACTTCCTCTAGATCCCTAACTTCCACGCTCCCAGCCTTTCTCCCCTACTCCCTGGTTCCTTCCACTTCACCTCCCTATCCTGGAAAATCCCTAAAATAAGCAGTAGCACTGGCTTAGAAAACAACCAGAACTTTATGGCAATGTGCTGTCATCTTTCCAGGGGTTGGTGCCTGAGTAATACCCCTTGAAAACTTCTCACCCCCTGAACAGTGGGGTGACCACCCCTCTGGGGCTGAACTCCTTTTGGGTGCCAGAGAAGGGTCTGTGGTTGGCTGAGGGGCTGTAGCTTAGACCTCAGGGTCTCCAGGATGGACCCCAAGGCCGAAGGTTCTAAAATTCTGAATTCTCAATCCGGTGGCCTCCTCCTCATACCCTTCCCTGAAGCAACTGCCTCCGGAATGGCTCAAAGTCCTCAGGCACTGTGTCTGGAGAAGGGAAATAATAAGTTAGGTCAGAGGCTGTGGCTCTCCCACAAGGCATGAAAGATCAGCTTGATCTCAATCAGCCACCTCACCATTGCATCGATACTGGAGATTGGACCAAATGATGTTTTCTTGAGAGAAGCAGAATACACCCAGACGCCCCCCTCGCATGGATGTGTCAATGATCACCCCAGAATCTGCCACAAGCTGGGGTCCTTCATAGAGCTTCACCCTGTCCAAGATTCCAGGAGTGTCCATGGGTGCTAGGGTGCCAGTGGGCACTGTGCCACCATGCCTGGGGCCTTGCTTTTCCCCAGCCCCCCTTGAGCTCACCAGGCCTGAGAGAGAAGGGAGGGAGGGAAAGGGAGGCAGGAAAGCAGAGGGAAGGGTGGTGCTTTTCTCAGGCCTGGGGCCCCTAGCTCTTTGTCCAGCTCCTTTTGCATCTCAAAGCACCAGCCGCATTCCAAGCGAGGATTGGGTTGCCATGACGATAAGCACAATGGGCTGGGGGGTGAAGTCACCCGCTTCCCAGGCTCTAGTCCACCCCCTTTTATCCCCTGTCCTGGCACCCCACAGCCCCAGGCACCTTAAAGGGGAACCAACCCAGGTTCCTGGACTCTGGGCTCTTGGCCATGGAAAGTCCAGCCTATAAGCAGACCCACTTCCCCTCCCCTTCCCGTTCATCTCCACCAACTAGGGCTACTTGTTGGATGGAAATGCAAAGTTGTGGACAAAGTGCTGAACCAAGGCCTGTGAAGTCAGGGCCTTGGTTTTCTCTTCTGTAAATGATGATCCCTTCCAGGTCAAATCATTCTCATCCAGGTTGATAAGGCAGGTTCCAGGCCATTCCAATTAAGGGGCCAGATGTGATGTGCCCCTCCACAGATTGGCCTGGGTTTGGAGGCTTCTGGAGAACTGTAAAGGGCATCTAACCCAATGCCCTTATTTTACAAAGGGGAAAATGGGTCATGGAGGAGGAGTGACTTCACCAACATCACTCATAGGTGCTTGTGTCTGCAGTGAGAAGGGAGATGGAGAGAAGCGGCTGCAGTCCCCACCCCTGGAGAGGCCACTGGTGAGTCCCAGCTAAAGAGGAAGGACAGGCCCGGCCTGAGTCCCACAGGTGGGCTCAGCTCCTCTCCTTACCGAATGTAGCCAACTTGAGGCCGGTGCAGAAGCTGCCAGCGATAGGAGGTCTTGTCCCGCCAGCCCACGTTTCGTGGGTCCGTCCACAGCAGTCGTACCTGATCAGGGGTGTGGCCAGTATGCCACAGGGCATTCCGGAGGTGCTCACCTGGGCCAGACACTGATGTCACTGCCTGGGGGACATTGGCAAAGACAGTGGGTCAACTGCAGAGCTGGAGTGAAGGGAGACAACAGGTCGGTAAGTGCAGGTGGGAAAGGGAGTCTAGGTGGTCATGAAAATGCTTTGGGTCCCAGAGAGCCGGCCTCCGTGCCAGATGTCTGGGTAAGAGGGCTCCCTGTCTGGCAGGGGAGGAGGCCCTGGGGCTGCAGGGGAGAACTCTGAGAAAGGACCCAGGGTTGGGGAGTCTGGGCTGCTGGGGACCTTGAGCTGCAGCCCTGGCTGGGCAACCGCCCGGAAGGGTGTAGCCTGCCAGTAGGTCTGCTCCGTCTGTTTCCACATGACCACATAGAAGCGGCCGCTGTCTTGATAACTGAAGAGAAAGCCCGCATAGTCATCATCAGTCACTGTGTTCACATGGAAGGTGCCTTCAAAGTCCACACCATTGAAGGCTGTGTATCCTGGGGTGGGGGTGGGATAAAGGTCAGGGGTAGCAAAGCTACTCGTGGCTCATCATGGGGTGAGGTTGGGAAGGGATGCCTGCTATGTGTGTGGCCAGCTTGTACCACTGCCTTCTCTCTCGCCACTTTGCCCATTCTCCCTGTCTGTTTCCTCCCCTACCCTCTGCCCCTATAGGATTCCTCCATTTGGAAGTTACTGAACTGGGTATCCCTTACATACCAACTGCCAAGCCAGGGTCACTGTTCATGGTCTGAACGATTTCCATTCCCTGGGGTTGTACAGTAAAGAAAAAAGCTGTGATGCACGTGCGCTGTCCTTCCCAGGCTCCCTCGGTAGCCCTGTCTGACAAGACCTGCCCATCCCAGTGCCCCAAGTACCTGGTTGAGCACAACCCAGTTTGGGTCAATCTGAGCATCACCCTCAGGATCCAGGACGACGGTCTGATAGGCCCGAAAATCCGTAAGCGTTACCTCTGCACTTTCAGGACACACATCCAGGGGGTCCACCACAGCATCATTGTCAAAGTCATCCTCACACACATCACCAACGCCATTGCCTGCACAGAGCGAGGCTGGGTGC